TTAAATGAAGATGTTGCCAACTATCTAAACTTAAGTGGTGAAGAAGTAACATTGTCGGTGTCAGTCTTGAATGACACTCGTACAAACCTGAAGAGCAACATGGTACATTGTGAGCTAGTAAGTTCTGATGGACATGTTAGAGAACATATCAGTGCATATACAACAAATCGTGTAACTGGAAACTTGCATGCTATTGACTGGTCTAAAGAAAARAATAAATGGCCTCACTTAARGGATATCAACTTTCCCGTTCAAGGTAAACGTCCTATTGTTGACATGTTAATTGGCCTTGATCTCTCAGACCTACACTGTGCATTACAAGAGGTGCGTGGTAACCATGGCGATCCCATTGCTCGACTCACAYCATTAGGCTGGACGTGTATAGGACCTCCATCTCAYAGACAGGGTGATATTGCTAATGYAACCTACTTCATCAGTGAAGAGATGCAACTGAACTCCCTCGTCAAGCAGATGTGGGAAATAGAAGAACCAYGTCCACAYTCACTTATTTGCCCAGAAGACAAAGAAGCTRAACAAATAGTAAAGGCAACACTTAGACMATCTCCAAGCGGTTACATTGTGGGATTRCCCTGGAAATCAAATGTTCCRTCCTTGAGAAACAATTACCCAATGGCATYACAACGACTAGAAAGCACTGAGAAGAAACTAGCAAAACAGCCTCAAATAGCCAAGTCCTATCAGCAAGTATTTGATAAGTACAAGGAAAAAGGTTACGTGAAAGAAGTTAAGACGAAATCTGAATGTAAAGAGAAAGCCTGGTATCTTCCACATTTTCCAATTGTAAGGATGGACAAGTCAACTAGTAAAGTACGACCCGTGTTTGATGCTTCTGCTCGCTACAAAGGTCTATCACTCAATGATGTTGTTCACCAAGGTCCAAAACTGCAGAGAGATCTTGTTGATGTTCTTACAAGATTCAGACGTTCCCCAGTAGCACTTGTCTGTGATATTACGGAAATGTACTTACAGGTACACCTTCAACCCTCAGACCAAATCTTTCACAAGTTTCTGTGGCGAGACATGGATACTACGGTCCCCCCAAGAGTATATCAGTTTACAAGAGTCGTCTTCGGTGTTAACGCTTCTCCTTACATGGCCCAGTCAGTAGCTCAACACAATGCAGAAGTTAATGCCACTCAGTTTCCTTTAGCTGCTGAGACTGTAAGCAAGAGCACTTA